CAATCATTATGGTGGCAGCGGTGGCCCCATCAGTGCGGTTAGGGCTCGGAGTAGTTGGCCGAGGGAAGGAGATTACCGCCGTACCCTTGGACGTTGTATAGCGATTGCTCCCCCAGGATTAACCCTATTGTAATTTCACCTCGACCCTGGGTATGGTCTATAAATACCCGGAGCGCTAGTGTAAGAAAGGGGATCCATTTTTTCTGGACAAATTAATGGGCACTTAATCCGCATTTATTCCTTGTCTCTAGCCCGCGCACCTTCATCCCCGCTCTCGCTCCCGCTTGGTAGGCTCCCTCCCTGTGGGAAATCCTTGGCCTCCCCACACGACCCTCGGCGAGGGTGAGAGGCTAGAAGTGATCCTACGGTACTTAGTTTTATCATGAATATTACTATATTTTTATTTAAATTTAGTCAAAGTTCAAACTGTTTCGAATACTGAGAATTGATTTTTTTTCTTGAAGGAGGGAGTATTCATGATATATATAATCTAGTGATACTAATTTTGTGGATTTTCTATAACTCAGTTAAATTTACAAAACTTTAATATAGAATAACTCGAAAGTTGATTTATTTAGGAATAGAGATAATACAACCCATCATAATTCCCACCCTTACATTAAAGCGACGTGGCTTTGGTTTGGGCGATTGGGTGATGTCTCTTTGGAAATTTTCGAGGACTGCAGCGACACTCTTAAAATCTGAAATTGATTTCCGTAAAAAAATATACTGATTTGAAAATGTGTTCGAGAAAATAAAATAAATCTTCTCGGTGTATGGTCAGGTCTCGTTTGGCTATCTCCATCACTGATTCTTGAAGCTATATTTGAAACCGTTTTATGCTAAATGTGATAAAATAAAATAGCTTCACCATGATGCCTCTTAGAACGTGCTCTGACAAGCAGCTCCAACTCGCTCTGGTGAGCCATGCAGTGAGATTCTGTAAGAGATATTTATGTTTTAAGTAGCTCCACATGTGGAGCTATTTTGCCAGTTTGCCGGATGATTCATCAAAATAGCTCTAACTTCACGGGTAGTGCTGCTCGTGGAGCTAGCTAAAGCAAAAAAAAAAAAAGGGACTTCGCTAGTGAAGTGAATTGAAGCTATTTAGAGGAACAAATTGGTTGCGTCAATAGGAGTGGTTACAACAACACGAAGATAACAAGGAACACATCTTCCAAATTTGTCGATCATTAGAGAGAGCCGCAATGAACTTCTTTATCTACATTGGTTTCAAGAGATGCAACTGGATTTGTTTTCTTCGTCTAAAAAACAAAGAAAAATAATCCAGTAAAGCACGTCTGCAAAGGACCTGTTTATATGCCTAGTCTAAAGTTAGTTGGAAGCTAAGAGCTAAACTTTATAGTACTTTACCTTACTTGTATGGTCTAATAAACTAATGGTATTTTTTTTAGTTGGCTAAACCTTTATGCAATCCTTTAAACCACCGATCCTCAAAACTAAAGTAATCTAAGTGCTGTTTGGATCTCCTCTCTAAATTTTAGAGCTCTAAAAATTTTAGAGGACTTTAGTTCAGTTTTGAGCTCTAAAGTTCTAATATGAGGTGGGCTAAAGTTTAGAGCTAACTTTAGACCAAATATTTAGAGATTTTAAATTTAAAGTTTGGAGGTCTAAAGTTTAGAAGTGTTGGTTCCAAATAGACCCTAACTAAATATCAGAACACACATCTAAACAAGGCCTAAATTGGTAGACTAGGAAGTGGCCTGAAGCTTGCGCCGTAGTAGCAAGAATATTTTGATCCGCACACAGTACGCGTACCTTGCACAGATCATCACATATCATGCACCTTAACTTTTATTTACAACAAGTGACGTGACGAAGTGCGCCAATTTTTTTCACCCAATGTAAGTGTCTTTGGACTTGTTTTTCTCTGGTGGATTCAGCGTCTTTAGACTTCACTCCCGGTTTGCAAAGAAAGTGAAGCTAGTGCGGCTAATAATTAATTGTCCGACGCGTTCGGCGAGCCACCACCACCGGTCCTCTCTCCCGGCGTGCCTAAATTCCACGAGCCAGAGAGGCCTTCTGAGCCACGACCACGACCCAGCACGCGTGATCCCGGCTCGTCCCCTCCCTCTTACTTTCCATGCGGCGCGGCCGGGTCGGTGGCGTCAGGCCAACAACGGCCGCAGCGCGTTGCATTGCAGCAGGGTCGGTCCAGGGACCCGGACCCCGCAGTCGAGGCGGCGCGCCCGCGCGAGAGCCGTGGCCCGCGTCAACCCCTCCCCACGCCACGCGGAAACTTGCCCAACGGTCTGGCGTGCGTTCCCACGCCGTGCGCGCGGCCGGGTCGATGACAAACGCGTCTTTGTCGTGCTGTTCCGTGCCGCCGACGCATTTGCCGCCTTGGTCCTGGCCCCCTTGGAACGCAACGCATCGCGAGCTGGCGGGCGCGGGGGCTGGCTGACTGCTGACCACGGGAATGGTATGAGCCCAGCTCCACTTTGCCCCGTGCGACAGACGGCCTATAAAAGCCTCGTCGCAGCAGCCCTCTCCTCCCCCGTCATCGCAGCTTAGCACAAACAAACACCGCGCCGCCGCCACAGCTTTGCAAATCGCAGCGAGCGAGCCTTCCAGTATCCAACTACGTTACTGTCGAAGATCCTCAATTCAAGGCCCTGATGGCTCCCCGCGTCGCCTCCGTCCTGCTCTTCGCCATGGCGGCCGTCCTCGTGGCCTCCGCATCGGCGCAGGAGTTCGTGGCGCCTGCGTCTGCGCCGGCGCCGGGACCAGTCGCTGGAGCGGCCTCCGCTCCGGCCTCCGCTGTCGCCGTGGTGTCGTCCGCACTGCTGTCCCTGCTTGTGGCGACCCTGATGCAGTAGAAGCATATATCATCTACCGCTTATGTATGCTACACATGGTCATGGGCATGGAGTAGTAGGTTTTGTTTCTAGATTTGATTTGAGCGGGAATTTGATCGAGTGTTGCTGTTCCTCATTCTTTTTGTATCATATATATATCTGCGACATTTATATATATATATATATAATAAAAGTTGGATGATCTATTGCATACTTTTTATGGATTTTTTTCCTGGGTTTGTTACGAATCAGAAGCTTTTTTTTCCTGCTCAGTGCTCAACTGCTCACCTTGTGCTGCCACTGCTAAGTTACCGCAGGCTATGTTGTGCTGGCTCACCTTCATGAGGTCGTTTGGCTGGATAGTAGGTTGCATTTTGATTCACAATTTTTTCATAAAAATTTAATATAAATGAAAATATTCTTCAAAAAATCAGAACTATTTGTGGTTAAAGAATAACTTAAATACAACCCATTTTAACTTGTTTCGTCACTTAAAAAATTAATTAAAATTTATGGTTGCTAAACAGAGGTGCGGGCAAGAATCATAATCATGTGAAAACTAGCTAATTGTCGTTTCTCCTTGATAGGCATAAAAAACGAGAAACTAGAAATTCTCGAGTTAAACATTTCTCGTCTAACCCGTTTGCTAGTGATTCTAGCAATTATTGTAAGAATCAGAAAGGTTTCTGGTTGTCAAGCAGGCCTGAGTCAGATTACGTATCAAAAGCCTTATTCTCATAGGGAAGGAATAAATCCAAAATCTGCATACGCAGGAAAACGAAGCACAATCGTTTTGGATATGGAGAGTCGCAGGAAAAAGAAAGCACAAAAGGAAAATAATCGATTTGGACATGGAGAGTTGGTGTCCTATTTCTTTTTTTAAAGTAGCTCGTTGATTGAAAAAGGAACAAAATCGTGATTTTTTATCAAGAAAAAAGAAACAAAACAAAAAATGTGCCAACGATTTGGCCACAGACCAGAGTTAACTGAGAAACTATGCCAATCGATGACCGCATTCAATTATCATCCTCTGTTCATTTGCTATTTTTCTCGTACATTTATGCTGTATATAAGCAAAAAAAAAATGCTATTCTTCATAAGCAAAAAAAAAAAAAAATGATCTCAGTTCATCTGCTACTAAGAGGACCTTCCTCAGCAGGTCATAGATGAAAAGCACCGCTCACGCTCACATTCAACAATGCTGCATTACAATTGTCATTCTGTGTTTCATCTGCTATACTTTTTTTTTTTGTATATTAAGTAATACAACCAAATGCCTTATTCGACTTATTGGTGCAGTACCCTTCCACAATATGAGAACAACATTAACGTAAAAGGGAAGTAAACGTATATGCCTGCCTTTTACTCATCGGCCAGGAAATGTTCCGCTACTCTGGTGGCCTAGAAGACCAGCAATCGATACATAAGCCACATTTAGTGAAGTATATAAACAGTATTGCTTTGTTTTGGTATTCAAGCACAATTGTTGTCAGACTTCTTTCCATTGTCCTCAGGTCAACAGTGCTTTGAAAAGGTAATCCCAGCGTCTACAGGACCATAGAGATCTTCAAACTTTCTGCATTGAAGGGAGTGCTCAATATCAGGCATGTAGCTAAGATAAAAGATTATGCAAGTGAATTATGCAAGGTGAAAGAAAAGGAACAGCAAATTTTTATCGCACAAGGATTGCCTTATTTCAACTGGTGACAAAGCAACCACCACTAAATGGAGACAAAGCTGTACTTTCCCAAGATGCCTCAAGCTAAACTGCTCTTCAGAATATTGTAAATAATTGGTGGATAACGATATCCCAGAAAGCCTGGTTGCAAATGTTTCAGTTCACTTGGTCAAATGATGAGGAAAATGATTTTGTAAGAATGGAACACCAAATGAATGCAAATTTGTGAGCAAAAGAAATGAATGCAAGACCAAGTCAATATTGATGAAGAAGGCATAGTAATTGCAAAAAGACCCTAATACACCTACTACATCCAATTGCAAATTTGGAATTGTTCAATGAATGATGCCGCAGAACTATTACTGAACTCCTGCGTCAGAAAATAAAAATGGCATTTCTATGCATGCATTGCATATTGGATTATTTGGCCAGAAATAGAATGTTAATGCAGACTGGGTACTAAAAGTGGATCTTACATTTGATATCTATACAGCTGCTGGTCCCTAAAGATGCATCCTACTGAGGAAGTCTGATAACCTGGAAGACACAAAGAGGAAAGTGAGGGGAAGTTGAGGGTGAAAAGTACAAGAGTACAAAGAAACTTGATACAGAACACAAACCTGATACTTTTTGCAATTACTGTACTTCCATCATCAGCATCAAGATGCCGCAGTACAACCTCTTCCAAGCGGCCATCTCTGTAGGCATGCTGCAAAACATGCAGGCTACAAGGGTTCAGTGTTGACTGAAAATGATGGCCTTTACTGAACAGCTAACATTACAGTTTACACTAACAAATTGCCAACGTGAGCCACAGAGGAAAATAATAATCATAAGAATTCAAGTTTCCTGCACCTTCAAACAGCTATTTAAGAACATCAGTGAGCACAATACACTCTACTCCCAATGAACAAGAATCAAGAATTGTACAAACTTAATGTAGCAACAACTCACAAGTTTCAACTATGTATAACGAATCTGCTAACTAAAAAAGTTCCACCACAATATGTAGAAATTTTTATATCGGCAATAACATGAACCAGATTGAACTAAAGAGGAGCTGATGTCAAGACTATCATTTGAAAAGTATCATGAACCACCAATGAACATCATCATGCAAAACCCAAAAATCATAGAAATGATGATGAAGATGAATAGATTACTTAGGACAAAACTTGCCCCGGGTTGTAAGAATCCATCCAAAGGATCAATCAATGATATAATATACATAAAAATGTTTTCTTCAGCCAAGCTATACTATAAGTGATACTCCATTCCAAATTATAAGTTGTTTTGGATTTTCTAGGTACATAGTCTTTGCTATGTATATAGACATATCATATATCTAGGTGCATAGCAAAAGCTATGTACCTAGAAAAGCCAAAATGACTTATAATTTGGAATAGAGGGAGTACATTTTATTTTGGACAAATTACTGTGTTCAGCAACTTCTAGAAGCTTAGTGGTGACAAAACTGACCCAATGCCTTGCAAGCACATGGTCAGGGTGCTCAAGTAGCTTAAAAGAAGGAAAACAATAAAATGGAGCAATCGAGATTCCACACACTGCCAATAGTCAGGTGACTCCCAGATTGAAACAAAACATGAGGTTCCATTCCTACTAGCAAATTTTCAAGTTGGTTCTACCGGGCTATCAATGACATACCTAAGGAGATTGAAAAAGGGCTCAAGACACTCATTACCCTGGTGGCCTAGGAAATTTGGAGGCACAGCCACACAGGAATTAATGTGTCTTTAATGGTGCAAGTATCAATATTACTGCAGACAATCACAAATGAATGCATCCTATGGTGCTCTGCTGGTGCAAAAGGACTCCAGGAGCTGCTGGCTAGGTTGCTTGTTGTGGGTTGATTTTTTCCTAAGTTTCTGTTGGTGCTCATTGTCGCTTAGCCTGTACTAGACTAGTTTCTTTGGCCTTGTGTCTCACAATCAAAGATCATGTTAGCTGTGGAAGGCTAGTTGCTCTGGTCTAGTGTTTCCCTTGGGGGGGAGGGAGAAAGGGGGGGTCTTCTCCTCCTTTGTACTGTTCCTCCTTTTCTCTCTTAATGAAATGATGCGCAATTCTCTTGTGTGTTCGAGAAAAAAAAAAAGGTTCCATTCACCACCATAAGTCAGGTGCCTCCCTCCAGAAATAAACAAGCCAGACCCAGCTTAAGGAATAAGGACTCAACGATAATCTGAGTTCAAAGTACTACTTGGAAGCAAAAACAAAAGTTGGGAAGCTCCAGCCATTTTCCAGCTAGAGTTCTGCTTAGTACTACTAGATCAGTTATTACAAATAAGCAGAAAGGAAACAGACTTGTAATGGGCTCTAAAACTCTTGATAGCCAAAAAGAAATTTGGTTTCCAGAACTCAAAGTATGTCAGCTGCATTCAATTCACATATCCAAAGCATGTAAAAGACAGTATTCCTACCCTGTAGAAACAACTTGTTCCAAAGGGGCATGAGCCAGTCCCAAAGTCGAAGTACTTGCAATCAATAGACCTGCAAAATTTATCCTATTAGAAACTAAGAAATTAGTAAAGTAATAAGGCAAAAAGTAATATTCACCTAAGCACCTTAAAATGTTCCTCATAAAACAAATGTTAGATGTCATCTTCTAGTATATTACTACCATGGTTCACCATATGAGTAATAACAAGGTATAAGCATAGGTACGAATACACAAAATATTTGTGACATTATAATTTCAGTTCTAAAATACAATATTAACTTAATATGAGGAATGCAGCATGCTAAAAAAGCAAATACAGATGGGAATATAAATCTTACTTGAGCGTGGATTTGTAGCTTTCAGTGATCTCCTCTTTCTCTTCCTTTGAGAAGTACCACAGCACACTTGGAATGACATAGTATGAAAGTTTCCGACATATTGGACAAGCCCTCAGTGCTGAGTTCACATCCATACCAGATGCAGGAGAATTGCTACGCCAATTTCTAATGCATGCAATACAGAAAGGATGATCACATTCAGATAACAGTCCGAACTTCCTTTCAGCAGCAGTAGGCTTTGAAAGCACACGATCCAAACATACACTGCATTCTATTTCTTGGCTGCGTTTCAGAGCTTCAAGGCGTTTGTGATTTTTCTCACATACCTTGATATGCTCCTCCCTCTCATCAGGACGATGAGGATGCAAGCACATTTTTCCACAGGTTACACACAGATCTCCATGCATTTGAGGGCACCCTTCCCCATAAGGACAATTACCAGCAGCAGCAAAAGAACAAATAGGCAGATCCGCAGGTTTCAATGACGTCTCGTTTAGCAAATTTCGATTAGAGGACCAGTCAATTCCATCATCTGAAACAATGTCATGTTGAAAATCATTTCTCCATGCAGGCTTACTGGCAGAATGTGCCAACACATCCACAGATATCTGATGTCTTTGGTTGCTTGAATCAGTTTGGTGCCCCGTGTGAGGTGGATGACTGTAACTTAAAGGTTGAAGAGAAGTAGATGAGACACGTCTTGCAGCACTTGACGTTGGCGGCGGTGGTGGCACTATGGGGTTACGAGAAACTTTGATATGGTCATATCTGCAACGGCTACCATACGAGCATGCACCTTTCTGGTAGAATGTGCAAATCTGAGGTGAAAATTGTAACAGTAAGATACACCAGAGGATATGCACTTACGACTGTAACTCCAGATATAAGACTAAACTGCATGGAATGTTACTAATACATTACATTATTTGCTTGATCACTCCAGTCGTGGGAGAATTCACAGTACTCTCCTTTCAAGCAAGCTCCATGCATGAAGAACTTGCAAAGAACCCTGATAACAAAAGGAGCAGTGAGCAAACAACCAAAATTGTTGGTTTCATCCCGGACAGAATAATTCCAGACTAGTTTTAAAAATACTTTATCAAGTAAACAAGATGAAATATGTAAGTCTGTAATTCTGAATCAAGGCTTCATACTTAAAACAATTTGAGTAAACAATTACAATGTTTGGCACATTCATTCCTTTCTTGCCAAAACATTGGCAGTTTGAAGTGTCAAAATGTTCACCTGGAAGTCCTTGGTAAAAAATATCTTGCTGCTGCTAGTGAGTCGAAACATAATTATACACATAAAATTGATGAAAGGATTAATGAAAGTACCATATGACCACCACCAAGTACTATCGAAACAACTTTACCAGACATTGTACTGTATCATGATCACAAACCTAACACCTTCACTTTACCTGATTATGATCATGACCGAATTTTGACAAGGCTAAATATGGTACCAACCAAACACTTTACATTTTCTAGCTATTCGTATATTTCTTATTATTTTCTAGCAGCAAAGAAAATGTTTGCTATGCCAGAGCAATACAAGTGGTTTTAGGCAAATACTCTTACAAGCTATACACAGAGTATGAACAGATGATACAAGGTTGAATCATCATCACAGTAAATAAAACATTAATACTGGTTCCAATATATTTTGTTTTTGGCTGCTGTTTCTTGCTAACCACTCTCAGCGCATATAGGAAAATGAGTGCTTCACCTTTTCACAGATAAATAAACATCATCATTTCCCTTTGTGGTTTTGTTTAGAATAAATATTAACTAATTTTTCAGTTACAGCCGGGAAACCGCATTCGTCAGCGCAGCGTGGCCAGGCAATTACAGAATCAAATAAACAACATATGCACCATAATCAAACAAAAATGATCTACTGGATTTAATTTAATGCAATGAAATAATATATGGTAATAGGCATCATACCCTAAATCAACACCACTGCTTGATCCACAAACAAAATGTGATCAGATCAAATGCTAAAACAAACGCAATCTTCCCAACTAACAAGCATCAGCAAGACAGAAAACCAAGTGGCCCATGCTTCATTCATAACGCTCAGAACGCTCCCAAGAGCTAAAATTTGGCATTGCATCAAGCTTACATCACCCAGGTACTTCCGCAAAGGTACTTAAGCAGCGAGTCAGTTTGAGCTATGAGCTAGCTTCCAACTCAATCCTAAATTGAAAATCCCAACTAGATACGAATTTTATCAGCTGCGACCACCACCAACCCTAACCCTAAGGCCTAGACAAAGCTCAATCAGCCTCAATACTACCGCTCACCACTACATTCATCCATCCAAGAACCCAACGCGGCTTAACCGCACGCCAGCATCGATCCAGTCCGGCCTCCAAATCGCACACAGCTAACAAGAGGATCGAATTCAAACCGAAGAGAGAAAAGTTACTTCTTAGTCGACATGGCCGAGCCAAACCGATCGGACAAGCCGGCCCGCCCCGCCCCGCGCAGCTACGAGAGGCGGGTAACAGCGCCGTCACCTAGGCTTCGCCGCTGATTCGAATCCCTCCCACCACGTCGCCACGGGCGGATTGCTTGAAACTCCTTCCTCAGGTTCCTCTCTCTCCTCGCGCTTGTCGCGTCGCCTTTTGGGGCTTGGCTTTGCGGAACCGCGGCCCGCGGGGTATCGAATCCGGGTCCGGGAATGATTCCCAGAAACAGGTGGATGGGAAATGACAGGGTTGCCCCCAGTGGTGGAACGCAGGGACAAGAGGTTTGCAAGAAAGGCACAATAATAATTTGGAGATACGAGAAAGAGTAATTCATGAAAGACAAAATAGGCAATGTCGTCCTTCAACTTTTGCTCTTGGGTCAAAGTTCGTCCGTGAACTCTTGCAAGGATCAATTTAGTCCTCGAACTCTTGCTCTCCGGTTCAATTCCGTCCTCCATCCGAGCTAGACGTCCACGTTGGCGTGCGAACTCAGCAACCAGTCAGCTTAGGGTTCCAACTCCTGTTGAAATGACCAATTTACCCCGCACTCATTTTGGACAGAGCAGCCACATCGAGCCCGACCACTCCCTCTCCTACCAGGTCGCCGCCCCTCCCAGTAGCGTAGCTCGCCACCCCTCCCTACCAGCGCGCCACCACCTCCGAGCCAGCTCGGCTCGCCGCCCCTCGGCACCCCCTCCCTAACAGCGAGTGCGGCCCCTCCTAGCCAGCTCGGGTCGCCGACCCTCGCCGCCCCCTCCCTGCCAGCAAGCCCGCCGCAGCTAGGCCCGCTCGCCGCCCCCTCCCTGCCAGTAAGCCCGCCGCAGCCAGGCCCGCTCGCCGCCCCTGAGCACCCCCCAGCCATCTCTCCAGTCGCCGACCCCATGGAAGCAGCTTGCTCGTAGAATTTGTTTGGACCAGAGGGGATTCAACAGCAGCACGACCACGATTTTGAGGCGAGCAACCAGGGGCTGGTCAGGGAGTCGTGGCCCTCTTGGACGGAGGAGGAGGGAACCAACCAGCAGTACATAAAGGTATGCTAATTCTTTTGTATTTTACTTCGTGGAGCTGAGAAGCATGTTGGCTTTTTTTAAATCTAATGTTAGAATGCATCATGTAGGGCTAGGAGAAGATGGGAGATTTAGAGGTACTGGTTGTTAGATTTCATTTCAATGGGGTATTTGTTCTTGATGGATCATCAGTACAATATTGTAATGGAGATGAGGGAGTTTCACATATAGATAAAGATAAACTGTCCATCCCAGAACTTGAAGGCCATCTGATGGATCACACAACTTTTAAGAGGTCTGTTAGGATGTATTGGTTGCCATTTGGTGCAGCAGTGAATACTGGGATGAGGATGCTGGTAGATGATAAGTCATGCCTTGATATGGTAGATGCAATAGGATCTAATGGCGCAGTGGATATATACACAGAATTAATTGATGTGGACATGGCTAAATTTAGTGAAACGGAATTACAAGATGGAGCAGAAGATGAAGCTGTGTTTGACCTGTTTAGAGATGAAAATGTCTTAAATTTCGATGCACATCATGGTGGCCAAATTATAGAGGATGCACGGATTGGTGAACCAAATACTGAAGATGAACAAGAAAATAGTTTAGATAGTGAATGTGAAGCCACAGGGTTCACATCTGATGAGGACGATGAAGCAAAGGAGATAAGAAACAATTATAAAACATATATGTCAAAAAGGAAGAAGAGAGGAGACATTCCTGAGGACACCCCCACTACAATGGATCTTCCAACAGGGAATGATCCTAACAGTATGGTTCAGGTGAATGAATTTGGAGATGGCATTGCGTATTTTGATTCAGATGAAGATGTATCATATGATGATGATAGCGAGACTGATGCCAAGAGAAGGAAGTGCAGGTTTCCAATATTTGATAGCCGTGCCAACACACCTCAGTTTGCCTTGGACATGTGTTTTAGAGGCAAGAAGGAATTAAAAGATGCAATAGAATGGTATGCACTGAAGATGAAGGTAAATATTAGGTTTCCTAAGAATAACAAGAAGAGGTTAAGGGTTGTTTGCTCATGGAAAGGTTGTCCTTGGCTTGTGCATGCTTCATACAACTCCAAAACTGACTGGTTTCAGATTGTGACATATAATCCCAACCATCATTGTTGCCCAGTCTTGAAAAACAAAAGATTATCTACAAGTAGAATATGTGACAATTATAAGAATACTATCAAGGCTAACCCAGCATGGAAGGCTAGAGCAATGAAGGAGACAATACAAGAAGATATGGGTGTCGAGATTTCATTGACAATGGCGAAAAGAGCAAAAGCAAAGGTTATTAGGAAGGTCATGGATGCTCGGAGTGGAGAGTACTCTAAGTTATTTGACTATGCCCTTGAGCTGAAGCGCAGTAATCCTGGTAGCAGTGTGCATATTGCCCTTGATCCTGAGGAAGAGGACCATGTGTTTCAAAGAATGTATATTTGCTTGGATGCATGTCGAAGGGGTTTCTTAGATGGATGTAGGAGGGTGATAGGGCTTGATGGTTGCTTTCTAAAGGGTCCTATGAAAGGGGAGCTGCTGTCAGCTATTGGGAGAGATGCAAATAATCAGATTTACCCTATAGCTTGGGCTGTTGTGGAATATGAGAATGTAAATTCATGGAAATGGTTTCTTGGGCACCTTCAAAAAGATTTGAAAATCCCACATGGTGCTGAAGGATGGGTGTTCCTTACAGACAAACAAAAGGGTTTGCTAAAGGCAATTGACCTATTCTTTCCAATGGCTGAGCATCGAATGTGTGCACGACACATTTATGCAAACTGGAGAAAAAAAACATAGGCTACAGGAGTACCAAAAGAGATTTTGGAAGATTGCAAAGTCATGTAATGAGATACAGTTTAATCACACGAACAAGTTAGCTGCCAAGACACCTAAATGATGGGCTGATTTGCAAAAAACAGAACCAGTACATTGGTGTCGGGCTTGGTTCAAAATTGGATCCAATTGCGAGTCAGTTGATAACAATGTGAGCGAATCATTCAATAGCTGGATTATAGATGCAAGATTTAAACCTATCCTTGCAATGTTAGAGGAAATACGTATCATGGTGACAAGAAGGATTCAAGAGAATAGGAGCAATAGTGATAGATGGGCAATGACAATATGCCCCAACATTCTCAGGAAGGTAAATAAAATTAGGCATGCAACCCAATACTGTCATGTCCTATGGAATGGTGCAAATGGATTTGAAGTGAGGGACAAGAAATGGAGGTTCACGGTTGATCTGGGACAAAAGACATGCTCCTGTAGATATTGGCAAGTCTCGGGTATCCCATGTCGACATGCTTGTGCAGCCCTGTTCACAATCTCAGATGAGCCGAACAATTATGTAAATACATGTTTCTCTATGGACCAATACAAGATAACTTATCAGCTTGTCCTCCAACCGGTAGAGCATGAGTCTGCTTGGCCTGTGTCTCCAAATCCTAAACCGTTGCCTCCTAGAGTGAAGAAGATGCCAGGTCGTCCACAAACAAAAAGGAGGATGGATCCTTCAGAACGAATGAACTCGAGCACTAAATCCTCTAGAGTTGGCACTAAAATCAGATGCACACATTGCAACGGCCTTGGACACAGCACTAAGACATGCTCTGTTCAGCTGGTGTTTATACATTTCACCTTTTTAGCTTTCTATTTTGTTCCTGGAGATAATAACAACGAGATGGCTCTAACTTTTCCCCTTTGTTATGCAGCAGCAGGACTCGACATCGCATAATCCTTCTCACAATAGTAGTGCACCATTGGCCATTGAAACAGCACCATCTAAAGGAAAAGGTCAAGCTGCATCTCTGAGCACAAAGTCAACTAAAAGAAAGGCAATTGAGGGCTACGGATTGTATTATAGTGAAAGAACTGGTTCATCATTTATTCAGGTTAGTAAATGGTTAATGTACACTCAATCTCTATGCATTA